GCATCACCCACTTGCTGTCACCCACCTCCTCCAGCCACGGGCAGAGACCCCACTGCCACCGATCAGGACCTACCAGGTCACCCTGGGGGGGGCATCCCTGGGCCAGCCCCCCATTGCCACCCCTGTCCCTCTGCCATGACCCATGGCCAGCCCCCAGCCCCACTACCAGGGATCCTGCTGTTCCACTTGTGGGCTGGGGTCCCCCCCGTGCCACCCCAGGGACACAGACCCTGTCCCCACTGTGCTGAGGGCCACAGCTGAGCTCAGCACCAAAGAACCCAGGCTGTGGGACAGCACAGGAGCACCCGAGGGCACCCGGCCCAGCAGCAAGAGCCGCCCCGAGCCGGTGCGGGGACAATAGCGGTGTCCCTGCTCGCCCCACAGGGCTGGCACGGGCGGCTGCCAAGGCTGAGCTCCGCTGACCCGCCTCTGCTTCCACTGAATCCCTGCGCCGTAAAAGGAGGGCTCAGCCTGGCCCCGCGGCGCATGGCCCTAATCCAAGGCCCGGCGACGCTTCGCCCCCGCCTAATCCAGACCCAGGATGCAGCCTGGGGTGGGGAGGGGACACAGGACCAGGATCACATCCCTCCAGGGCACCTGGTACAACAGGTACCCAAAGGTGCCAGGGAGCAGCGGTGCTGGCTGCTTTGCCAGGCCACGTGCCTGGGCTGTGGCAGAGGGCAGGGGAAGGTGATTCCGGAGCCCTGCACAGCCCGCGGGAGAAACAGCCCATTAAAAACAAAAGCACTTGTTGTGGGGAGGGGACACAGGACCAGGATCACATCCCTCCAGGGCACCTGGTACAACAGGTACCCAAAGGTGCCAGGGAGCAGCGGTGCTGGCTGCTTTGCCAGGCCACGTGCCTGGGCTGTGGCAGAGGGCAGGGGAAGGTGATTCCGGAGCCCTGCACAGCCCGCGGGAGAAACAGCCCATTAAAAACAAAAGCACTTGTTGGAGCATCTGCAGGGCTGGGAGGAGCATCCCATGGGAGAGGCCCTGGAGGCTGAGGCCACGGGAAAGAAGGGAGGCTGGGGGAGCCTCCTGGGAGCAGGGGGTGCTGATGCCACACGAAAGGCACTGGCAGAGAGCCCAGCTCCTCTGCACAGGCACCAGAGGCAATCCGGGCTCCTGCACTGCACACGCAGCTCCAGCCCTCCCTGTGGCTGCAGGATGAGGCCTCTGCTCCCCTCTGCCTAAGCAGGGGCCAAGGGAGGGAATCTAGGACAGGAGGAGGAGCAGGGCCTCGGGCTGGGAAGCTGGGTCAGGCCGGGCACGCAGGGAGGCTGTCGCAAGCCCTGGGAACGCGGTGGCCCTAAGGAGAGCACAAGGCTGGCGCAGGCGGCGCCGACGGGGCCGTGTCCCCAGCCCCAGAACGAAGCCGCGAGGGCGGAAGGGAGCCGGCCGGGGCGCCGGGGCTGAGTCAGAGGTGCCCTGGAGCGGTGCCCGGGGCCCCGTGACAGCGCTGAGCAGGACGGGCCGGGCCGGTGCGTACGGCTGCGGCCGGGTTGCCGGCAAAGGTTAACAAACTTTATTCATAAATAATTACACGCTTAAACTGAAGCATTTTGTGCTACGGGCTATAGCGGGTCAGCGGTGTCCCTGCTGCCGCTGGCCGGCCTCAGGCCCAGGTATCGGAGCAGGCTGTGGAGCTCCTGGCAGCCCGCTGCCACGTCGGGGACAGAGGACAGGACCTGGGGACAACGGGGAAGTTAGTGACGGATGGGGTTGGGCCCAGGAGCAGCAGGGAGAGAGAGGAGCTGGGGCCTCCGTGTCGGGCAGCTGCCCCTCACCTCTCTCATCTTCTCCTTCATCTCCTCGTGGCTCCTCAGCTCCTTGTGCATGTGGCAGAGCTGCAGCTTCAGGGCTCGGATCTGCAGTGGGAGATGCTCATGAGGAGGCTGCCAAGGGAGGGCCCAGCACCCCCCAGGCTCCCACGTACCTGCTCCAGGTGCTTGGAGGAGAGCCGCGAGCTTTCCTCCTCTTTCTCCAGCAGCAGCAGCCGCAGTTTGTCCACCTAAAAGGAGAGCGAGGGCAGCTGAGTGTGAGCCCCACAGAGATGCTTCCCGCTGCGCCATGTGGGCCCACGAGCCCCTTGCTCATCCTGCCTGGTCCTTGGCCCAGCTCGAGGAGCGGGGCACGGGGCAGCCCCCCGGCCTCACCTCCTGCCGCAGCAGCTCTCGCCGGCAGCGTCTGCCGTGGGCTCCTGCCCTTGCAGTTCCTCCCACAGCACCTTGGCCTTCGTCTCGGCGCGCTGGAACAAGTGCTTCAGCTCGGAGACCTCCCCCTTCAGCCGCTGGAAGAGAGAGGGGATGCTGAGACTGGCCCTGTGGCTGGCACTGGCCCACGTGGGGGCTCGAGGTGCCTCCCCACCCTGCTGGGACCCCGCACGCACCGTGACTTCCCCACTATTGTCAATGAGTTGCAGCATCTTCTCTTCCTGCTGTTTCACAACATCCTGCAGCTCCTTCGTGTTCTGCAGAGAGAAGTGGCTGTGTCAGACCAGGACCCCCTCAACTGGCAATCCCCAACCCAGGGCAGGGGAGCCCCATGGGGACCACAGGCCAAGCATGGCCCCACATTGGGGACACGGCCACCCCGCTGCGGGGCTGGCTTGGCAGCAGGGCCATCCTGGAGCGGGTTCCCTGTGCTCGAGAAGGTTAGATGCACCCCGAGGACCCGCGGGGCACGGCAAGAGCCAGTTACCCAGATTTTCCGTGTCCTAGATCAGAGCGTGCCCCAGTTCGGCGCTGCCCTGGAGTGAGCGCTGGCCCACTTCTGGCACCGGCTCACCTGTAGCTTGTCCTGCAAGGCCTTGTTCAGCCTGGCAATGGTGGTGGCCTGGGCGTCCGTCTTCTCCTGGCTCTCTGTGGTCACCTGCTCCAGCCTCAGCTGCAGGTTGGAGCTGCGAGAGGACAGCGAGGCTGAGCGGAGGAGCCCGGCCCAGCAGCGTGCACCACCACGCACCAAATCCCTTCCTGAGCATCTCATCAGCCCTTCCCCAAGGGCCGGGGCAGATGCCACACAGCAGCCCCAAGGACCAGACATGCCTGGGACATGCTCAAGCCCCTGCATAGCTCACATCTCAGTCTGCAGCTCCCTGAACTTGCTCTGCTCCAGCTCCTGCACGCGGCCGCTCAGCACGTCGAGGTTGGAGACAGCGCTTCGCAGCTCCCTCGCGGTCTCCATCAGGTCGTCCTCGGGCTCTGCGGGAATGGCCGAGGCTCAGGAACAGCCCAGCAGGGACCACTGGCTCCATGGGGACACAGAGGCCACGCTGCACTGCCCCCAATGCAGGGGCAAACCAGCATGGGACAGGCCTGTGGCTCAGGGGAGGGTGACAGGCACCAATACCTGTTTGCTTTGGCGTAGAGGCAGGTCCAACTCTGGTAAACATGCTGGTGGCTTCATCAGCATCTGTGAGAGCAGAGGCATCGTGCACAGCCCTGCACGCTGCATGGAGCATGGCCAGACCTTGCTCACGCGCAGCCACCTGGGACCTGCCCACAAGGGCCTGGTTTGTGCAGGGGAGACCTCCCAGCCCAGGGAGCAGCAGGACCCTGGGCCACGAGCAAGATCCACAGCAACGAGGGACACAGGCAGTGCATCCAGATCCCCCTCCTTGCCCAGCGCCAGTGAAAGACACTTCCCAAGCACAGAAGCTGCCCCTAGACCCCAAAGGAACTCCCGTCCTCGTGCAGGGACCCCTCTGGGCACCCAAACACAGCTCACCTTTCCCCAACGCTGCTTTTAAGACGCTGCCCACAAAGGAGTCGCCGGCGCGGTAGGGCGTGCGGCACGCGGGCGTCCAGGCCCTGCGCGGCGTCTGCCAGGGCCCCGGTGTCCGCCAGGCTGGCGTGCGTGGGGCCGGGGTCCACACTCTGTTTCTCACGGGGCTGCTGTTGTCCTTCGGAGGGGAAGCAGAGCACAGCCCTGGGGTGCCACTCGTGACAGCTCCGTGCTGCCCCATTGAGCAGGGCCCACGGGAAGCCACGTGGCAGAGCCACAGGGTGATCATGGGGGAGACGGTCCCCACCTCAGCCTTCCCCCCAGGATGAGGCTCCTACCTCCTCTTGCAAAGCAGCTCTGAGGCAGTCAGTGAGGTCCTGCAGCCTCTGCTTGCTCTCAGCAATGTCTACAGAGCACTGAGACACTTTGACCCTCCTGAGCTGCAGGTCCTGGAGCTCGGCCTTGGTGCTCTCCTGCTCCTTGTGGAGCGCAGCGTGCTCTTCCCTGTGGGAAGTGTGGCAGTGTGAGTGGGAGCAGCACTTGCCCTGCTTGCGATGGCATGGGGACCTTTTCTAGACCTGCTTCCCATTGCAACCGAGGGAGAGACCAAACCCCACAGTTTTAGGTGACAACTGGTTGCTTGCCCTTCCCAAATGAGTGCAAGGAGATGGAGGCTGCTGGACTTGCCCGTGGCCTCTTCCCCTCCATGTAACTGTGCTCAGGGACAACAGCAGTGATCATTCCCTTCCCTTCCCCACAAGGGGCTCAGTTTCCCCAAATTAAGGGGTATGAAACAGAGCTGGAAGTGGGGGCCATACTTCAGGCACCGGTGCGAGTCCTGGAGCTCCTCATGCTGCCGACTGCGCTCCTGCAGGGCAGCCAGCGTGGACGTCAGCTTGGCCTCCGCCTCCAGGAGCTGCGAGCGGAGCATGCGGTTCTCCTGGTCCAGGAACTGCAGGCGGGGAGGAAGGAAGAGCCATAAGGGCCTGGCCCGAGGGGATGGAGCAGCGTTCCCGCGGGAGCCGCGGCCGGGCGCGAGGCAGAGCCGCTCTACGTGCAGGATGTCAACTGCGCTCGCCCGGCTCCCCCCGCCGCCTGCCCCGCTGCCCGCGCCGCGTCGCTCAGCGGGAGGCGCGTGACGCCCGCGGCCCGCCCCGGCGCTCCTACCTCGGAGCACTCCGTCTTCTCCTGCAGCCCCTGGCAGAGCCCGTCGCGCTCCTGCTGCAGGGCGTCCCTCTCCTTGGCCAACCTGCCCGGGAGAGGACGCGGTGACAACAGCGCCCCAGGCAGCTCGGGGCAGAGCGGGACCAGGACAGGGACTGTCCCTGCTCTGTGCCGGGTGCCAGGGCTCGTGCTCGGACTCACTGGGCCATCTCCTCCCTGTAGTCCTCGTTCACCTCCTGCAGCGCGTCCCGCTCCTGCTGCAGGCCGGCCAGCTCCTTCATGCGGCTGCTGAGGTCTGCAATGAAGCACAGCATGAGCACTGAGAGCAAGGCGAGGAGGAGGAGGCAGCCCCGCTTCTTCCTCCAGCCCCAGGATGTGTCCCAGAGGGACCAGACACCGGGAGAGGGACGTTTTCTGCAGCTGCTGGAGCCACACAAGGACAACTACTGCTCAGCTGAGCCCTGCAGAGCCCCATCTGCGGGGACAAGGTCAGACAGAGCAGCCCAGGGGCAGCTCCAGGTGCCCGTACCTGCACTGAGGCGTGACTCGGCCACCCTGAGCTTCTCCACCCGAGCCATCGAGTCATTCAGGGCCCCCATGGTCTCCTCCAGCTTGCGGGAGGCCTGCAGAGACACCGTGCACATCTCTGCTGTGCACACACGGGCTGCGCCAGCGCCTGCTTCACCTCTCCAGCTGTGCTTGGAGCCATTCGCAGGCTCTGCCCTGTGGGACCTTCCCACCCTGGGGTGCCCCACGTCACCTCCATCCCCTGGGAGGACAGCCAGGCTGCAGAGCAGCGTCCCAGTTATCCATGCTCCGTGGTAGAGAACCCCACTACCTCGTCCTTGGCTTGACGGGCTTCGTCTGCTTGCTGCCTCATGGCATCCCACTCCTGCAGGCAGCTCTGCAGCTTGCTGCGCACATTCTGTAGCATGACCTGGCACCACGACACCAGGGACCTCACTTGCTCTCGCTGCAAGAGAAGGGGGTGCCTGGAGGATGAGCGTGGCTGTGACAGCCTCGGGCCCCACTGTCACAGCCACACGGGTCTCACAGGGGCCGCGCAGCCCCACAGCACCTCCTCATCCAGGGACCTCCTTTCCTCTTGCAGATTTTCAAAGGTAACATCTATGAATTTCCGGAAGGATTGGGACTCAGCAGCCAGAGAAGCCTGCAGGGCAGGAGAGCAGGGTCAGGATTGCTGGGACAGAGCAGCCACTTTGCACCAAATAAGCATAGCGGGAGGCAAACACCAGCCCTGAGCTCAGACCAGCAGCACCAAGAAACCTCTCCAGCCGTCCCCACCTTGCCACAGGCCTTTGCTTTTTGCAGCAGCCAGTGCCCGAGTCCAGCACGCGGCAGAGCCGCCTGCAGAGCTGGGACCCAGCCCCAGGGACCAAGGGGGAGGCAGCTGGACGCGCTGCCCGCTCGGTACCTGCAGGTCGATGGCCTGTGCCAGCAGCGTGCTCAGCTCTCTCTGGGAGGCCAGGCTCTGCTTCCACGCGCCCATCTCGGTGCTGGTGTGGGAGCGGAAGGCCTCCAGAAAGCGATCTCCCTGCGGAGGGAGGGATACGGCGCTCAACGCGGACCTGCGACGTGGCCGCACGGCAAGGGCAGCTCCCAGCACCGCTGGCACCAGGATCTGTCCTTCGCCACATGTTCTGCGGGAGCCTGGGGCTCTCCCTCCCACCGTGACACAGGCGAGCCCCAAGGCGAGAAGCCACAAGCCCCTCCAGCCCATTAGGCCACCCCAGGTGCCAGTGACACCTGAAGGGACCTTCCTTCCCTCCCCAGGGTTGGCAGATGGGGACACCCCGTTGGAGGGATGGGGCAGCAGAGCCCGCAGGTGGATGCCGTGTCACTACCTCCTCCTTGGCTCGCAGGGCTTCGTCCGCGCGCTGCTGCAGGGCGTCCCGCTCCTGCAGGCAGCCCCGCAGCCTGTCGGGGACGCCCTGCAGCACGGTCCTGCACCGGGACACCAGGGACCTCAGCTGCTTGCGCTGCAAGAGGACAGAGCGCCGTGAGAAGAGCCGAGCACAGCTCCGAGACACCCACTGCCAACCGTGCCAGCAGCGCCGCGGCCTCCCTTGCCCATGTCCCCGAGCCACCGAGTCCGGCCACTTCTACAGTGCAAGGACCCGGTCTGTGCAGCAGCCTCCAGCACTGCCAACAGACCCAGCTCCAAAATTCCCTTCCTGCCAGGCTGGTTTTGGCTCCCAGCTGCCAGGCAGCTCCGAGCAGTGACTCAGCCAGGCTGTGTCCTCGCTGCCACACAGAGAGAGCCGGAGGCTGGGGCAAAGCCGGCGGCTGCTGCTTGCAGGACTCACCTCCTTGGCCAAGGCTTCCTGATCGTCCTGCAGGTTCTGGAAAGCCGCATCCATGAGGCCCCGAAACAGGAGGCACTGCTCAACCCTGGCGCTCTGCGGAGGGGACAAGGGTGCTGGCACTCAGACCGCGCTCCCAGAGCAGCTCTGCATCCTGCCCGGTCGCGGCTCCGCGCGTCGGCCGCCGAGACGCACCATCCTCGCGGCCGCCTGCTCCAGCTCCCACTTCAGGTCCTGCTCCAGGGCCTGCTGCCGCTGCAGGGCCTCCATCTTCCCCCACTGCTCCACGTAGAGGCTGTGATAGATCTCCTCCTCCTACGGGGTGCCCAGCAGCGGGGCAGAGCAGGGCTTGCTGCAGCCCTGCTCTGCCCCAGCGTTCATCCAACACCACCCATCTCCCACACGCACAAGGGCTGTGGCAGCACCAGCCACTTTGGAGGGCGGCTGTCTCTGCCCTCCCCT